ATGATATTAAAATTGCTATGAATGGCCTATTGAAAGGTATGAAACAAATGATTGATTTGTCACATAGCAGTGGTCAAGAAAGTCGACAATTAACCGAACGTATCACAAAGTTAAAAACAAATGTTCAAAAACAACGTGTAACTGTACACGGACGAATTCATCTATCAAAAGCTCTTAGTTGTCTTGGTCCTTTAGCTGGAGCTGGTATTGTTGCACGTACTGTTGGTGTATTAGTTGCAATTAAAGAATTAGGCGGTCCTGGTATGCTCATTATAGCTGGTGCAAGTTTGAATCCGATTGTAGCTATTATATGCGGTGCATTGCTTGGAGGTACACTTATTGTAACTATTGCAGGTCTTGTTTACCGATTTTGGACGCGACATCAATATAAAGCATTAGCATTTCTTGAAAAGATTTGCGTAGGCCTCATGGAATTAGCAAATACGAATATGTTCTTACTTGATTATCTTAACAAAAGTGAAGAAGCAGCCAATACAATTAGTACACAAATTGAACAACTTCAATGTTCACTTACTAGTGAACGATATCGTAAACACAATGGAAAGATTTGTAAGAAAGCATTTGAAACAGTCGAACAAGCTGTTCAAGTTATTGAAAACATTCGAAATATTGACATATCACAATGGCTTACACCGCAGAGTTTGCCACGTTTCGGTGTTCAAACAGCTGCTTTACCTGCAGCAATATCTCAATAATCATAAGAAGAATTATATTCAAATTGTATTTTATATCTTTATGGTGTTCTTATATTTCCAAAATAGTATAAAAGATGCAATTATATAGTGATCATAAACAATTGGACGGATTTAATGTAGCAGTTTTTGTGCGCGACAAGGACAAAAGTAGTATTGAATAAAAAATCTAAATATTTAATAATAAGAAAATGATGTGAAATGAATAAGTAAAAAATTACGAAGCAGAATAAAAAGCTTAACTTGTGGTATGAGTTCATCATTAACTGTTGCACAATCTAGTAGGTAATAAATTCATATTGAAATTGCAACTAGATTCATAATTAGATTCAACAAAATTATTTCTTTTTTTGAAAGTAATAGATTCTGAAGCCAAACCTTATTGACCTTATATAGTTGTGAATTTTTCCTAATGGCGCCCATTTCATAGTTCACTGAAAATGTTAATCATTTGCTACCGATTGTTTCTTAACATTTTTTGGATATTGAACTATCACTATCCATGATTGCCTAGCTCTTAGAAGAGTTAAGCTGAGAAACGATCCAATGCTTGAAAAACACGTGACTAGGCCACTGCTTCCATACTCGTTTTCGGCTTGTGATATTATTATTTGTATGTAGAAAAAGATTGATTTCTTTTACAAAATACAAATCGAAATATGACAAAAATTATGCACTAAAGTTGATCTTTTAAAATTGTACTCTTGCTTTTCTTCTCGTTTATTATTTTTTTCGAATAAAATTGATCAACCTCTATTGACTACGACACCACAGCTCATGATCGTTCGAAATCGCTTACTATGAATCACTTATAATTACACACTGCAATTAACCAAAGTCATACTTATCGTTGATGCTTACATATGTAAAACTATTAACAGTTGAAGATATGAATGGTTGCATACACCTGTAGCTTTATTCATATCAATAGAACTCGATTGAATCTTTCTCTGCATAAAGGTGAGTCGAAAGAGAGTAAAAAATAAAACATTGATTAGAATAACGAATGTATGATAGCTTTCTTCAAGGCAATTATACTGGTTCATTGAGAGGAGGAGGGTTGTCATCCATTTCTTGAACGTAGGCATCAGTTATTCTACACCCAACTTGTATGATAATGATGATGTTTTCAGCAAAAGACCTTGTAAATTAAACTACACGTTTCTTTCTCCTTCTTTCTTATTGCTCGTATAAATGTGATGAACAGAAAAAGCATTTGCGCATTTTTTAAAGGTTTGAATAGTTGAAAAAATAAGCAAGCAACATTTCATTACAAGCGCAACTGAGTTCAAGCGAGAATATTCATGAAAAATATGTCAACGGCTTTCTGATTGGAAAAATGATTTCATCGTTTTGTTGTTGAAAACAGTATTAATTAATGCAAAGGATTTACTATGCTATTGAATAACTCGAAAATGAATAACGCTAGTAGTTTATAATTTTTACCGGTCAATAGAGTACACTAGGAGATATTGATGTACTCGAGAAACCGATTTTCTTGTAGGGTTTTCATTCAAAGGTAATCATTAGACAAAAGATATCTGACGTTTTCTTGAGAGTCGAAAGTAGTCAGGTGACTTTCAGATACACTTAAAAAGATATATAGATCGAACTAACATATTACCTGGTGTTCCTACACCTCGAAAGCCCTGAAAAAGAAACTAAGTTTCTCATTAAAACTGCAAAACATATCATCATTGGACTCAATCTGATCAATTGCCCTTATTCAAACTCTTTTAAGAATGTTTGAAGTTAACATCATCAATGCCGAGTTATCAAGAAAACGTTCATATTTTTTTAACAGTATAAGTCAGAGAGGACTCATTAGCCAAAAATGTTCATTCTGGTTTTCTGTGTCGTAATTTAATATCAAGGACTATTTAATAATCATTAGTAATAATTTAATATATGAAATAATGGTTTCGTCTAAGACCTGTACCTTGCAATTAACTGTGAAGTCATACTTGCTTTAAATATCTGTATAAAAAAAAGGAAAGTGTTCAGAATTATCAGACAAATGAATCAGCTTTAAATCATTTAGTACTACTATATTATTTGTAAAAATATCTCTTTTGAGAAGCTACAGCTAAGAGATACTAACCTTATGTAGATCATTTAAAGTGAGCTTCAACAATTCTCCAACATTGACTGAAGTCAGATCGCGGCTTCTCGCATACGTCGACGCCTCCAAGTAGAATTTGTTGAATGGTAAAAGTCGAAAATCATTAGCGTTATTTTTGTTCTTGAATCATTGAGAAAAAAAATAATCGAGATTCTTTAACTCTGGCCCAGTTAATAGTGTTTCCCATAGCCGAAATACTTGAGCAATGTCTCATTGAAACCAGAAAAAGAACACAAATCTCTTTGAATACCACGGAACAATCAACTATAATAATATAAAACCAAGAGTTTTCCTTTGTTTCATTAATAGGTTGCATAATGCAAGATAACGCAAAAGTGACTCATTTGTTTTTTGTTCCTAGCCACTGTATTCATATATTCATTTCATTCTTCTTATACACATGAATGTAAAGAAAAACTCGAGAGTTTTCATCTTGTCGATTCACATTAAATAACGTTTTTCTACACTAAGAAGAACTTAATTAGTTTTATTCGTCTGTTCTTCCACTATATTTCTCAGCAATAGCGATTCAGCTCGTGAAGAACAATAATTTCTGTTGAGTAGTTCTGGTAAGAACTAATGAAAGAATACTAATTAATTCTATGAATCAACATTATATAGAAAAAAACATTAACAATTTCATCGACGTTAGTGCAAAAAATACCTCAGATAGAGCGAGTGACAATAAGAAAAGAAACTTGTTTATTCTTTGTAATATGCTTGCATACAATATCGCTCTATTATTCATTGCTTAGCTCATTTTTTGTATCTTAGTGCATAATTTTCGCCTTATACTCTACAGCCGTAAGAAAATAAACAGAAGTACAATGTTGAAAGTGACTGCTGCATTACTTGTTATGCTCATTGTTATTGACTTACGTGATGAGATCGCTGGTAATGACGTATTTCGGTAAGCTCTTTTGGTAGACTGAATCGGTATATTAATTTATGCAGTCTGAATTGTTAGAATGCCTATTCATCGTACTCAACTACGATCGCCCACCAAAACAAATTGTTCAGTATCACCGACAAATATAACGAGCTGTCAAATGTCTTCACGCACTTACGGAAAAATTTCAATAGTAACCTCTTCTGTTTATGAAAATCTCATCAATGAAGCTGATGTAAGCAACTGTCAATTATCCATAAACTTATTTTATAGAAACTAACAAAAATTTGTATCTGAAAGATCAAATAACATGAAATATAGACATGAACAGAAGTTTTGGCAAAAGAATACTCAAATTGATAGTTTCTTGCGTGTAAATCTTCAAATATTGTTTTTTTCTAACAGATGTATTTCATCGGAACGATCTCAATCGGAACACCAGCTCAAAACTTCCGTATCAACTTCGATACAGGTTCATCTGATCTATGGGTACCGTCAAGTAGCTGTCACTCTTCGTGTAGTAGGTTATCGAAATTCGGTCAAATATTTAGATCTTGATCATGTTTCGATTTTTTAGATGGTTTCAATAAGTATACTTCAATACAATCAACAACATATGTGGCTAATGGAAGAAGATTTTCAATTATCTATGGTGATGGTTCTTCGGCAAATGGTTCTTTCAGTATCGATACCGTCACAGTAAGTTACTGTAACATTGCTGAGATAAAAGAAAAACGTTCATATTTAAGCATTAAATATAAAGATAGGTTAATTCAAGATCAACAAAGTTTCGATTCTTGAAAACTAGTCTGAATCTCAATAATTTTCAGATTGGAATTCACTGCTAATATAAAATAGGTTAAATAATTTCTATGTTATTCTTTAAATTTCTCATCGCCATTTCATACGGATTCTTTGATAATTCAAGAAAAAAGTTAGTAGAGCTGTAGTTCATCTTTGTTGTTTAGCACATCTGTCACTTAGATCTCTTCACTTATTTCTCCGATCAAAACAAACTTGTTAATTAATGACGAAAATGATTCAGTTGTATTGTTTCTCTTCGCAGAAAATTGCAAAAAAAAAAGAACATTCATTCATATAATAGAGGTTATTATTGAATGACTATTTGATTCAGATCAATGGGATTGCAGTCCACAACCAAACATTTGCTGAATGCACATTTCTCAGAGGTATGAGTAATAACATCAACGATGGTATTCTGGGTCTCGCCTATCCAAACCTGACGACAGGCGGTGAGAATCCACTCTTCTACAACATGTGGTCTCAAGGTCTCATTCCAGAGGCCATTTTTTCCTTCTATTTAAATCCGTAAGTGTCTCATGAATGAATCTAAATATCCTCCATGTAAATTTTTACTTCAGTGACACAAGCGCCGAATCCGGAGGCGAACTCATATTCGGTGGTGCAGACTCAAGTAAATACACGGGCTCCATTACTTATACTTCTGTTGCAATAGAAGGATATTGGGAGTTCCTAATGACTAGGTAACAATTTATTGAGCAAGCTTTTTTTTGCTTCTACTTTGATCTTCATTGGAATAGTGTTAGTGTTGGATCAACTATTGTAAGCTCATCAGCATACGCTATTGCTGATACAGGTACAACACTCATTATCGGACCTACTGCTCAAGTTACTGCATTGAATGTTGCCCTGGGTGGTACTTACGATTCATCTAGTCAAATAGTATATTTTTTTCTTACTAGTCTACCTAACGAATATCATTTAAATCTTGTCATTCTTTTTAAGTATACGGTCGATTGCTACAACCGTTCGATATCTTCATTTCCCAATGTTACCTTCACAATAAGTGATACAGTTTTTACATTAACACCATTACAATATCTGTTGATCATCCGTGACGAGTCAAATGGTTACGTTTGCTTTAGCATCTTTGCTCCACAAAATATAAGAGATTCCGTTGGCAATCGTTTCTGGATCTTGGGCGATTACTTTCTCTATCGTTATTATTCAGTATTCGATATAGTAAACAATCGAGTAGGCTTTGCTACATCGATATCGTACGACTGGACACAAAGCGTTGATTCTTCTTTGTTTCCAACAACAACAATCATTACGACAGAAGCAACTACTCATACACCTAGGCAAGGAAATGCTACTGACTATAGACTATCACTTGATTTTTATTTTTTCACATTAATAATGATGGTAGTTACTCGTTATATGAATAGTTTTCGATAATAAACAGCATACTACTGAAAGAAATTAAGCATTTGTGAAGGAACGATGGACGCATGTGGCTTATAATTTATTACGGTGTTGTATTCACATTGATGACAAGTATTTTAGCGAAACTTGAATTGTTGACGATTTTGTGTTTACAGATCAACTAGAAGGAGTAAAAACTGATGATTTATTAGCGATCTTCATCAGAAAAGTTTGACAACGTCACAATATATAGATTGTAGAAGATTTCAATTTTCTTATTAAGATGTCTTAGAGATAACCGAAAGTTTGATTTCTTCAAGTTCAATATAAAGGTGTGAATGTGGGTATGCTTGAGTGAAGAAAACATCGTCGTCTTCATCCATACTCACATCCGAATGCTCTGATAACTACAAATAGTGATTGGTATTGACGATAATTACCTAATGCCTTTACGTTATTCTGGAAGGAATGATTCTGTATTATTTGCAAGATATATACATGATGATAGCTTGAAGAATGATGATCGATTGGCTACATTTCGTAGCATTCATTCTCGTATAAACAATAACCAATCAATTAAAACTTGATTTGATTTATCTTTGTAAACTATCTATTTGAGTTGCAGGCATCAATATTGACTACAGGTCAATGTCGATATGTTCATTCGGCTAGGTCGTACAATTACAAGTCAGAATAAAAGCTTACCTACAATCTGTGAATGGATTTTCTAGAAAGAAAAATACCTAATGCTGGTCAATTTCTTAAGACTAAAATCACTGAATTCAGTCATCATGAAGATATTGAAACGAACAGAAGTGATCTTATATTAGGATGATGATGCGTGATACGATTTGTACTTTTTTGTACTTGTGTTGATATTGGTATCGCTCTATCAATGATTGTCATCACCTTTTTCTTGTTCTCTTTGCTATATAAACTTATGCTACGCGTTAAATGGATACATTCTGGAGATATAAAGCAATTCAATAAAGTTCATTACCGATAATAGTGATAAGCTAATTCTCCAGTTTGTCGCTACGCAGAAAGCTATAAGAGAATATGAAAAATAAGGACTTGCTACTATTGTTAATCTTGAAATTGTTCCATACTTTACACCAGTTCGATCACTTATGAACAACCAAGTGCTTTTTGAAATTGTTTCATCAGATCATACGTTGTAATAATCAAGGTTAAACTCTAATTTTACAAGAATTTATATCACTAAATAGAATGAAAAAGAAGATCGTTCGCTGAGTTGTATTAATGACTATGAATCGATTTACTTCTTCTGATAGTGGTGAATGCAACATATGATTACAATTGATTCACGCTTCGCAACGGTTTGGATTTCTTGATATTTTCCAAAAATGCTCTAACTCATTCTAGTTCTATCGAATAACTCTAATTTCCAATGCTCTTTCAAAAAACTACTGGAAACAAAATATGGAATTATTTATCAAAAGTAAAACGAATCATAATGATCTAAAAGAAAACTCAGAACTCGTCGATAAGCATACGATTGTCAATCGATTCAATAAAAACTTTCAAAACTTGAATGTTTGCTTTGTGCTTTCTATATCCTCTATTATCATCAATAGCAATGAAATAAGAACAATAATTAAGTTCTCTGATTATCTGAACAACCATAAGACAAAATTTTAAAATACAAAAAAAAAACAATAGTCTCAATACTTTGATAGTATCAACTAATAAAATAAATATATATTAGCAGTAGAATATTTTCTACTAACAAAAAAAAATTATAACGATAATGTAATCGAGAGGAGAGAAAGTCGTTAATGTTAACACTTCCTGAGTCTATGAAAGGAAAAGAGTCGGCAAGATCAAAAAATTCATTATTTCATACATATGTAGTTTTTAAGCTACAACATATGAATAGTTTTTGTTATTTAAAGTCGTCCTAAACGAATAATATAATAATTAATTATGAAGAATACAAGCGCTTCTTCATTTTATGTATACGTTGTCGGGCATGTGAAAACCATAAGTGAATATTTTTGTGATGATGACGAATGTTTTCATCTGGTGTCTCTATAAATGGATCTTTAATAGGTAGAGTTTGTTTAAAAGCTCCTAATGCATGTTGATGATATTTAATTGCCAAGTTTTGATTTCCGAGATTTGAATAACAATCAGCAATCAAATTAAAACTTGTGCCAATATCAACATGATTTTGAGGTAAAAAATTTTCACGCACTATTAAACATTCGAGAGCATGCTGAAGTGCATTGCGATAATTACCTTTATCTCCATAGATAATAGTCAATTCTTCAAGAATAGTTGCTATAGATTTCAAATCATCTGATACATACTTTTTTTTAATCGAAAGAGCTTGTTCAAGACTTTCGAGAGCATGATCAGCATCGTTTTGATTGCGATATGCAAAACCCATGAACATAAGAATATCAGCAATAACTGTATTAGTATATATATAATAGGTTTTTCTTATGTTAAGTGCTCTTTGAAAGAACATTGTTGCTTTGTCATATATTTCTTGTTCATAATAAATTTTACCGAGATTTTCACAGCTAATAGCGATATCTAGATGAGATGGCGGATAAAACTTCTCTTGAATTTTGAGAGCTTCTTGCTGCATTTCATAGGCTTCATTAAAATTTTCTTTCATATACAAAATCATACCAATTAAACTGAAACATTGAGCAATATCAATATTTCCAGACGAACAATATTTTTGTCTAATTTTAAGAGCTTCTTTAGATAAATCAAGAGCAATATCATACTCTTTTTTCATATAATGAACTTTAGCAATACTATAAAGACTATGAGATATATTTCTATGATCATGTGGATAAGATTTCTTTCTCATTTCTAAAGCATTTTTACATAATTGAAGAGCTTCTTCGAAGTCTTCTTGTTGACAAAGTGTCAGACCAATATAATTGAGACTGTTAGCAACTGTTATATGTCCAAATGGATAATGTTTATCTTGTATTCGAAGTGCTTTTTGATGAAATACTAGCGCATTATTGTATTGTTCTAAATGAGTGAACATTAAACCAATACTATTAAGATCTTCAACATGACTAAGATGATCCGGAGAAAATAATTTTTCTTTGATGCGTAAAGATTGAAGAAAATATTTGAGTGCTTCATCATATTTGCCTTGCAAATGATAAATAGTACCAAGGCTATGAAATGCTTGAGCAATATCAAGATGTTCTTCAGGAAGATATTTTTGTCGAACTCTCAGTGCTTCTGAACATAAAAGTAAACCTTTCTCAAAATCTCCTTGATGACAAATAGTAAGACCAATATTATTCAGACTACTTGCGATATTTAAATGATCAAAAGGTTTGTGCTTACGTTGAAATTCGAGTATTCGTCGAAAATATTTTAAAGCTTCATCATATTCATCATTTTCATATAAAATAGTTGCAATATTGCCAAGACTTTTAATGATATTTATATCATCAGAAGAATAATAATTCTCTTTGATATTGAGTGATTGTCGATAAAATTTCAAAGCTTTATCAGATTGTTCTTTCTCACGAAAAACAGCACCAATATTGTCCAAACTCACAGTCATAGAAATATGTTCAGAAAGATAAACATCATTCTGTAATTTAAGAGCTCGTTGATAGAAAATTAAAGCTTCATCATATTTCTTTTGATGATAATAGATAAGACCAATAAAATTGAGATTTTCTATAATGTCAGAATAATCAGAAGCAAAATATTGTTCTCTCATATCCAGAGCACGTTGAAAAAAATTTAATGTTTGATCATATTTTTCTTGATTATATAAAATAAGACCAATATTTTGAAGACTATGAACAATATTGATATGACCATAAGAATAATATTTTTCTTGAATTTTTAATGCTCGTTGATAAAATTCTAAAGCTCGATCATACTTTTCTTGCTTACAAAAAAGTTCGCCAATGTTCATAAGATTAGCAGCAATATGAATGCTACTATCTCCAGAATTGTACATTTCTCTGACTGTTAGTGCTTGTTGATAAAAATCCAATGCTTCTTCATATTTATCTTGATGATGAAGTATATAGCCGAGAATATTTAAATTATTAATTATATTATTGTAAGACGAAGAATGATATTTCTCTCTCAATTGTAATGATCGATAATGAAAATTAAATGCTTCATCAAACTTCTCTTGTTGACAAAGAATATCACCGATTTTACTCAATCCATCGACAATACTTAGATCATTACATGATAAGTACTTTTCTTTTAGTTCAAGTGCTTGTTTATAAAATTCAAGTGATTTATCATATTGTTCTTGATCACTTAGAACAAGATCAATATTATCGAGATAATTAATTAGATCTATATAACCTGTAGGATAAAGTTTGTCTTGAATTTTCACAACATCTCGAAAGAAATCTAAAACTTCATAATACTTTAGTTGTTGATAAAGTACAATAACAATTCTATTCAAAATACTTGCAATGTTAACATGATCAGACGGATATAATTCTTGTCTTGTTTTTAATACTTTGTGATAGAACTGTAGAGATTTGTTATATTTGTCTTGATCAAATAATATCAGAGAAATGTTATTAAGAATTTCAGCCAAATCTATATGGCCAGAAGGATAAGTATCTTCTCTAGTTTTAAGAACTTGTTTAGAGTAATCCAAGGTTTCATCATACTTCAATTGTCGATGAAGAACAGCACCAATGCTGATCAGAATTGAAGCAACATTCATATGATAAGAAGGATAGAATTTTTCTCTTATTTGGAGAATTTTTTCATATTTATCTTGATCAGTTAGTAAAATAGCGACAAAAGTGAGACTACGAGAAACTTCTGCATAATCAAAAAGAGAAACTTCTTCTCGAATTTTAATTACTTGATTAAAGAATTGTAAAAATTTATCATATTTGTTTTGTTGACAGAGAATAGTACCAATACATCTTGAAACAACAAAGACGTTTTTCATTCTATTACAGATGCAATCATAAAATTGTTGTATTAAATGTTGTTCATTTTCACAATCGTGAATTCTATCAATGTTGTAATCAATGCGAACATAATTGTCATTTTGAAAATTATTTAATAAATGTTCAAAATATGTTATTGATTTGTTGTATTTTTTCAAATCACATAAAAATCTTCTTAATAAAATAATAATATTTTGTTGTTCATATAAACACCATACAAATTTAATGAAATCTTGAATAATTGTTTGTCTTTTACTTAATGTATTCATATTTGCAATAGAAATATTTTGAATTCTACGAAGTAAATAAATATATGGTAATAGATAAGAAGTACATGAAATCAATATAATTNGAGGTTTTTTTTCGTAATATCTTGCAATACGTTGATAGTTCGGTAAAATGACCATAAGTTCTTTTTGTGATCACATTTTTTTGTTAAAATACAGAATGAAGGAATCTTTGAGCAAATGATTCGTATAATAGTGTAATATATACTGATTAAACAATATTTTTCCATCATCTATGACAGATTACAATTTTTTACAACGTTTCTCTCATAATACTTCCGACATCAAATAGATGAAATGTTTCATTTGTAACGTTAGGAGCTTCGATTTAATTTGGAACAATGTAATACGACATAAGATGAAAGAACTCATTCAACCTTAGTAACCACTATCATCTGTTTTTCGTCTTGGCTTCCGTCGCCATTTTTAAGTAAAAAGCGAATTGACCAATAGAATTTTCTTTTGATATTGCCGCTACCACATAATTTGTATTTTTTTTCTTTAAATAGTCGATAAAGAAAACGCAAAAGAATGCATTGCATATTGAAAAAAACGTTTAACAGCGTACAGGATAAAAAAAGACAACGAAACGCGTAAGTGAACATATTTTTCACTCATACCAACATTCTTGGGACATTAGACTTTATATGAGTAACAATGCTATTATTATTTTTCTTCTATCGTACGAAGAAGAATGTGAAAAAATCTTGATGAAAATATTAAATTAGCGAACTCTTAGAATCTTTGGCCATGCAAAAACTTTTTATTTGATCAATATTTACGAAATTTTGATTGGATTTTATATGTATTTGCATAACTTTATGCAGTCATATCTAAGAGATTAATTTTTATTTTAAATTAAATGAATGATTTATTGACTTTAGTAAAGGTCAATTTTAAAATTCCAGAAATTTTTTAAATTGAAGATCTAATTGATGATACTGTTCATTGTTTTGGTCCTGATCGTGATCATGGTGATTAACAAGAATAAGCTTATGTATGATTTGACGATGACATTTACGAAACTCGAAAATTCATTAATGTATTTTAAATTAGAAATAAATCTTGTACATATTACTACATATTTCTATTCGATTGTAATATTTTTACAGTGCAAGGTCAAGCTAAGATCATATTGTACTTGTTATATATTGTTTTTTTTCTATATGCATGACCCCTCATCTACAGTTGATTTCGTATTTCATTTCATTCTCATGTATGATGGTTTCTATTATAATAACTACTATATATGAACATCCATTGAGAAGGATATAGATGTTTTATGAAATAGCGAAATGACTCAAGCATTCATGTACACATCTCTTTTGTTAGTATTGATAGAGAATCAAATTGACTGCTTAATAATATGAATGGATCATTGTAACTGATAGCGAAATGATATTGAATTAAATTCTTACTAGTTTTAAAGTACGATCATATCAATGTTTATGGTAATGTAATTTCGTTTTCGTTGATTAAATTATGAATGCTGAGCAATCATTAAGAAATAGTCATACATATTATAGCATAGTACTTATTTTCGAAGATTTATTATTTCCACATTGAATAATACAAATATTACAATTGGCGTTTCTTAAAACAACACAAGCAGAACAATATGCAAAAATTGCTGTTATTAGATATTATTATGTTATTGCTGGAAAAAATGCATTAATACTTCTTTTTATAAGTAATAAAATCGATTTATAATTAGCAAATAGATTAAAGCAAGTGTTGTTTTCTCATATTCAGAGCTAACATCATTGGATGTTTACTGGTTCTTCCTTCTGGTGTTATACTCATTTTTTTTTCAAGGTAAAAAACGTGGCTATTATTTTATCTTACAACTTTGCGATATCATATGTAGATAATGTGATTGACCTTTATTGCGAGCATATCATTTGTCGAGTCAGTCACGTTTCATTGAAAAATTGAAGTTAATTAATTAATTAATTTTCTTAGATCATCAACATTTTTGTTTCTCCTGCTTAGTCTAGACACATATTCTTTTCTTGATGCGTCAACACTTTTCTATACAACAGTATTTCTAAAGAGAAACAAAGCTATATGCGACCTTTTTTAAGAATTTTTCACTAGTTCTTTTGAAACGAGTTTATCTCAGGGCAAAGAACTCATTCCATAACGATTCATTAAGTCAACAATTGGTTGATTTCAATAAATAAACTTTCCATTTTCTGAAGGCTTGTGCTATTTTGTACTTCCTGCTTATATTAACGTCCATTTAAAGGAATTTATCAGTGCAGTCCATAATTGGCTAAAATGGCGAAGTGACGTATCTTGTTCAGGTACATTCTAATGATATGATACTCAGAAAGTAAAGAGTTTCTAGTAGATGAAATAACTTTTCAGACATAGCCAAGTATCCGAAACCGACTCTATCTTATTTATTTTTTGTATTTTTGATTGAAATTTCTTTCTCTTTTTTTTGTTATTGACGTTCCATATTACATTTGTTTTGTTGCTATTGACTCGCTATTTATTATCTCTTTCTATTTCGTTCCACTTGATTTCTTTTTATGTTTTTGCCATTGATATAAATGTTAGCGTAACTTACAGTGCACAGCTATTTAATAGATCTGCTACGGGTCTCAACACATCATTCTGTATTCAGATAAACAGAAATTGTTCTAGTAATTATTGCCGAAAGTTAGAACTTGATTATGTCTTACATTTTAAATCGGTGATATGGCGACTAGAGAACGGTTTTGTACCGACTAGGAGGGTACCGCAAAACCTTGACTTAAAACTTACACTCACTATTTTCTTCGAAAATATATGTGAGTTCCACAAAAATATGTCGATAAAACAGAAAAATGGTTGTGTCCAAAGAATATATTTATGTAGATGATTTCGACGTAATCGGACGATACCTCATCTGTCATTTAAAAGTTTATTGTTTTATTTATATTTAGTGGTGTCGAATTACTATTACTTATTTTCGGCTTACAAGATTTGATTACCGCTTATTGATAATATAATTGTTTGGAAGCATACGAACGAGAACAAATGAACACTAAAAAATGAATTTGATGATTAACATAATGGATTCAATATACTTAATTTCTTTTCACTTATATATTCTGCAGTACATCTATATAAATATTTACTATTCTGCGGAAATAGAAACTTGAATAATTCCGAATGTATTTCTATTGATAGTGTATTGTCTGATATATACATGAATTCAAATAAAAATTTTTTCAACTGCCATAATGGAACCTTTTGCAATGTTTCAAATTTATCAAAATTGATACAAAGTGCTATCAACATTTGAACAATTGCTTCAATAGAAAACATTTTGACCTTTTTAATGAGAATAATAAAAGATGTTGTGGCCAAATAAAAGTGATCTTTTCTTCTTGAAGAATGAAGTTCTTAAGAACATGTATACTCACTTAGAAGATATTGTCTATCTAAGCAGCAGTCGTTTGGATATCATTTTAGAGAAGCTTATTTGTTGCATTCAAATCAACACTGCAAAGTCATCTTCCGCAGAAATTCTGTTGAAGCTTTGAGTTTCCAACTGTACGTTTTTGATGAAGAGATATCTAGTAGTGAAGATAATGAAACGAACAGTAGGTACCGTATTGACTGTGGATCTTTAGTCACAATCCTGTTTATTTCTTAAGAAAGCTTTAAAGAATTCTTTCAACTTTTCTTCAGAATGTTGCTTTAAATGCTAGTAATTCCAGTTGACAGGACATCTCATGGTGAAATAAGGTCATTTTCAGTATTGTTTCAAGTTCCTGCTCAGCTTTTTTTTGTCAATTAAGAGCGAAAGATATTAAAAAGATCCATTCTGAATTCTATTCAAAATCTTGACAACAATAACAAAAAGTATTATTCTAAGACTTTATCACTTTTCTTATAAGGATCTGTTCAGGATCTCTGTACCATGATTCTCTCATAATTTACAGACAAATCAGACATGAATCCTAAAGTGGTGGATGTAGGTATGATTCAAACAAGATGCTGTCTCATTTCCTATCCGCACTTGTTATTATTCCAAATGTCGAACAGAATACGAAGTAGTCGAGCGATTCTTGATATTGGCCAGTACTATACGCCATTTTTTTCATTATACATGAAATCCTACACTTTCTAACGTGTGTTCTCGTCATATGTAACCATGGTAACTGAGTATACGGTATGTTCGATAGCAATGGAGGAAGAGAAAGAAAAAATCAAGCTTATTTCCTCGATTTATAAACATGAAAGAGAGGTGAACAAACTGTTATTTTGTGCATAAAATGATTCTACATGTAGGAGAATTCCTGCATAGAGACTAAAAACAAGATATTCTTAGCACAATGTTACATATCGTGAACATTGACCGACATTAGATAGATTATAATTGTTTTTCCTATTCTCTAAGTTATTTTTTCGTAGGATCTACTTTTTTCATTATGATCCATCATTACTCTATAACAACCATCAGTTTTTCTTTTCTCTTGACTTTTTTTGTCGCTGACATCAAACATAAATTTATGCTACATTGAACATTGCCTATCTTCGTTTAGAAATACTTAAAAGTAGGCATTTTTGATCCAAACGGTAGATTTTCACTTGAATTTATCATTTTTTTTAGTGATCAGACATTTGTCGATTGCAGCTTGTAGATCATATCATTGCTTTATCTTTACACCTACAGTCGAATCACTCCTAGAACTACAAACTTTCACAACCACACCCACGCTCACAAAGACGCATACAAATTATTCCGCTGAAGGTTTTCTTAATCAAGCATGAAGCAGTTTGCTTTTACTTGCATCTTTTTGTTGAAGTTTTCAAGTAAATTGTACGTGTCAAATTTTCGATAAAGAAATCATCAAAAAAATTTGTTAAATCTATGCAAGAAAATTCTCTGCTAAAATATTCTTTTCTTGTCGCTTATATGAGAACAATATGTAAGTGTTACGCGTTACCTCGTTGAGTTAGTATGATGTCATTAATGACCATAGAAAATAGTATCGACTACTTAAAGAGAATAATCAATGCACTTAGTTGATTTTTAAATTCATATTATTGTATATTTTTTGCTAAGAATAACGCTAGAGTTTGTTTAACTAAGTTTTATTGAAATCAGTTTTATTGAAGGTTGTTCAGATACATATAAGGAAAAAAGGGTGATATGAATAAAGCATCACAAGCTACGGATAACACATGAATAATGAGCGTTGAAATAAGTCACTAGATTGCTATAGATTTTATTTGTCAATTAAGAAGAAAAATAGTTTGTAGTCAATAAATGATACGTATTAAGATGGTAAAATATTAATCTTCGTGATAGTCTTCAGGATTTAGTTCAGCTAAACGACGTAGTGGCTTTCGTTTTGAACATTGAAGCCCGTTAATATAGCCGACCTCATCGAAAACTCTCAAAGCCTATGAAAAGAGAAAAATAAAATTGTTTAACTATGTCTGGCATATTGTTTCTTCATTACATGATCGAGCATTTCTTTAGTATGACTAGCAGATAGACAAAATCGTATACGTGATTCGTTAATCTTAGTAGCCGGAAAGCCCACAGTCACTACAGCACATCCACGTTTTAACATTCCTCGATTGACAGCTCTATATAATGAAACAGTTAGTATAAAAAGAAAAAAAACATAATTTCATACGCAATTTTAGCTGGTATGAACAGCATTACTGGAACCACTGGCGAATCATTATTTCCATATACAATAAAGCCCATATCAACAAGTTGACGACGAAAATAATGAACATTACGAGCTAATTGTTGAATACGTTTTTGACCTAAAAATAATATCGAATACATCTAAGATAATTCTTATCGCATTAGAGATCGTCATTCCCATCTAAACTACGTAGTTCATTTTGTACTTTTCTTTCTTACAATACTCGGAATTTAATATCTTACCATTATCAGTTCCATCTTGACCACTGATAATGTTAAGTGCACTAAGGATTTGATAGACAATAGGTGCCGACATGCTCGATGAGTAACATGCAGAATGAGAATGAGCTCGAATATAATCGACCAAAGACTATGACAAAAGTCAAATTCGATCAATTTAATATAAAAGAATATCTCATACCTTGTTACCAGCAATATAACCTCCGACAGAACAGAAACTTTTCGTAAATGTGCCCATATGTACATCAATATCTTTCGGATCAACATTCCAGTAATCGACAACACCACGACCACGTGAACCAATGGCACCAATTGAATGAGCTTCATCAACATACAAATAGACTTTGTATTTTTTCTTAATGGCAACTATTTCAGGTAATTTACACAATGAGCCTTCCATACTAAAGTTTCATAAAGCCAACATTAACAAAATTAAGTAGAACAGTCATCCGTTTTACCTGTAGACACCTTCGACGATAATCAAAATTTTTCTCCATGGTCGAAATTTTCTTGATTGACCATAAATAATGGCTTCACGTAATTGATATTCCAAATCTTGCATGTCTAAAAAACAAATCAATAAACTTTGTCAGAAAAAACGATATAAAATTGAAAAATAGAAGATTTTCATGATAATGTCGTTTCCTTTATAAAACATGATGTATTTAACAAAAAAAATGAACAAAAATCACAGTAATCAGAATAACGCTATGAAGCACGAGGAGTGTTAAAACTATTTTTTGAGCCATAATATTTTCAAGAAACAGCTATGAAAGTATAAAAATATCTGTATGGACTAAAAATTTAGCGTAGTTATTTGTCTTGAAATGGCTTCGAAGTTTATGACTTTCCTATTTACTTTCAGGATTTCGAAAACTTTTTTTTCGAAATTCAATTTTCAACACAACTAGAAATATGAAGCTGGCTACGTTGATCAAAAATATAGCAATCACAAATCCCAGAAATATAATGCTATGCCAGGAAGCGAGTTTTATCCAATGTTGATTCATCGACTCAAACCGAGTTTATGACCCTTCTTTCGTATAAACTACCTCGTAAAAAATGGGTTTCGATTTCGAGCCTATAGAATTATGTAAGATAATAGAAGACATGGTTTTATTTTTTCAACTAAACTAATATAGATAATATGCAACGAGAAAGAAGGATCAATCAATTTAGTTTAATAATTATTTGAAAATCTGATATATCGGCGTATCCATACGACCATTATCAAAGTATATATATTAAGAATATGGTCGTGATGTTAGTATATATCCATCAACATAATACAACAAAGATAATTCAAAAAGTGCAAGTCATGGATTAAATAAATCAAAAACAACTATTGAAAAATTTCTGTAAATCTGATATGAATAGTTTACGGAATAGTCTTCTCTAGAACGCGATCAGATTAGATTTACCAATGCTATAGCTAGGATTATGATCAGGACCACTGAAAAAAAGTTATTGAAACTGGAATTCAAAGAAATGAGTCTAGTACATCTCGAGTTGGTATATAGAATGTCCAGAAAATCACTAGACAAAGAAAAATTTGAATATCTTTGCCATATTTCGACGATATGTGCTGATATTTTTACCATTGATAAAGTAATATTCAAAGCTTATATTCATAAGAGAAACATTGTAAAAATCATTTCAATGTATTTACAATTGATTTTAACCAAGAGCTGTAACCTTTCATAAGTTATGAAAAAATGATATATTTATTTTGCTAGCCAAGCATAAACGACATCTATTTTTTTCAATCAATTGTTTACACTAGTATCGCTTGGGCTCATATTTATACTATAGATACATGCATTGTTACTTAGCGTATCCTAAAAGTTTTACACATAAACATCAAGAATATGTTGACAAAACTACAATATTAATTTTTCATAACTTGTGAAATATTATGAACATTTTGTTGAAGTCAGTTGTACTACTTAAAAACATTTTTGAGAACGTTTCTCTTATAAATATGAACTATGAACATTGCTTTGTTAGTGGTAAAAATATCAGCCCATATAGTCGAAATATGGCGGAGACATTTACATTTTTCTTTGTCTGGTGCCTTTCTAGATACCCTTTATTTTAGAAAGAATTCAGAAGCCTTAATTTCTTGAAATACGTATAAATTAGTCAGAAACTCAGCGACATATGCATAACTTGTCATTGCATGGGGTGCGGGTGTATATCTTGTCTTCACTCGAATCCGCACATAATAGCACTCACTTTCATCTACATTCAAACCCAAATTACAAAATTTAAATACTCACAACAGGATTTTACTCATAAGACAAGTGGAGACCATAATGTATTGTCAAGGTAAAAATATCGTTTTTTACTGGCCTAAGTTTAATATGCGTATTTAGGTTTCAAATTGAGAATGTTTCATATCTAAAACTCGTTAATATAATGAAGAAAGGCGAGAAATATTTTTCTGTAAAGACCAATTCGAATCAAAATGGGTCATTGCAAATATGGATACATACCATTGTGATTGAATGTGCGAATATGTGCACCAGATAGTCGAGCACCAAGAATAATTGAAACATGATTTAGTTTATCACTCAATATAAGATCACCCTATTGCAAAACATTTTTAATGAAAGAAAAAAAACAAGATGATTGTTCTATACTTTGCCCATTATTGCGGGAATATTTAATGCATTGGTAGCAAAGCCCATACCAAAAGCAATACAATCTTCAACACCTAGATAATTTGCCATCATTTCTTCAAGAGTTCTCATATATTGTTGATTTCCTATGAATAGAAAATGAATACATGAAATGATTTGATTTAGTTTATAAAAAGACAAACGTACCTAATTCATGACGAGTACTACAGTTCGTAACGCCATAATTTTCAATTGATCTTATAGCTTGTTCTGTACATGGACCGCTGTTTTCGGCAAAACCTAAATAATTGTATGAACCCAAATTGATGGCCGGTATTTTTCTGCCAGTAAATCTATATCAATGAAGATAACCATATGAGCTTTTTTTCTTTTTTTTGTCGACTTTCTCATTCACACTCACCTGAATGTCCAATTGTAATCGTCTGTCACACGTTCCATGACATCGACTATAGGTCCCGCCATACTTGCAATCGGTTGATTGAATACATCACGAACACGTTTATAGAGATTACGCGTATAGAAGCACTCGAAACTTTGATAGAGCGGTACAAAATCCTACGAAGAGAAAACATTCATAATAGACTTTTTATGAGATGTTTTGAAACCTTTGGATTTGGATCTATAACAAGTGTTTTCTTTTCCAAGCCAATATAACGAAGAAAATCGCGCAACCATCCGAGTGCAGTATGCAAAGCAAAACTGAGTATAGTAACGACGGCAGCCCAAGTTGGTGCTTCTTCGAAATTTTCATCGTTAAGAGTCATCATTTTTTTCGTGTCATCCTGGAGCAAGTTACAGAAAATTAAAGAAAAACAATACAATATATAAATCTAGCTAAGACTTGACTTACTTTTGATTTTGTGTCCAACAGATATGATGTTTTATTGAAAGTGTCCGTCATATGTACTCAGTTGCTTCTCAACAATGATGCTTATGTGCTGGTAAATATCTGAAACGATAAAGTCCACCTAGGCCAAAATTTGATTACCGAAGTATCGTTCCAATGGTGGTTGTAGATTTTAAGGATTTTTTCATATATTTTAGAATCTCGATCAAAATAAATTGATCTTGACAAGTAATAATATTTTCTTTTCTGAAATTTTTCAGAGTAAAAATAGCTAGCTTTTTACTATTGTTGAAAAATCTTTAAGTGTAACTTCGACGAGATTAAAATGTTAAACACGATGAAACAACACTACTTGTGGACGACACTCATTCCATGTCAATCATATTTTTCTTGAGAGTCAGACAGACAAATACATCATGTCCGTCTGAGAGTATAGGTACAAGTCTTATATCTTCATCCACTCACACTATCCCACACCAACTAACACCCGGTCTCACATCGTTATGGATATGCTCTGTAACTAATAATCGATTTTTCTTGCTCATTAGAAATTTGTAAGGAGCGTTGCATTGTTCATCATTATCATCTGAACTGACGGAGAACGGTTCAAAAACGGTGAAAATCGCCAATCGTGTTTCATCCTTTAGGGCAGTAATCCTGTCTTGTCTTCATCGTCTTAGGCAGTATAAAAAGTCGTCTTAGATAGTCAGAATTATCGGCCTGGGTGCTTCCTAGAAATCTATTCTTTCAAAGTGAGAATTCTTCAGTAAGAAAGATGAGGAAATGATGATTGAATTTGAAAATCTTGTATTATTGTAAATATTTCGCTGGTAGGTTGATTGAAACTCACAGCACATAAACGGACAGGCAATCGAAAAAACTTATCTTTGACAAATAATCACAAGCGGATCGGTTACCGGTTGTACAATCATCTTTGTAATCTTCGAGTTATACCCTCTTGAACATAATCCAAGGAGTTGACAATAAACCTTATTTAAACTCTTGATTTACTCTCTTAAGAATTTAAAAGATCGATCAATTACAGACACTTTTTCTTTATAATAGCATGACTATATTAAGAACTCACCGTAGAAAATTGCGTTTTCATAGCATGTAAATTTTGTAATAACTAAATGCTGCAACGATAACAAAGAGAAAGGCTAGAATTTTTCTATGAAGATTTCTAGAAGAAAATTAATGGGTACGCAAGTGAAATTTATTTCGATCAATCTTAATAGATGTTTATCGGAAGCTTGACTTTACCAGACTATGAAAAAATCTTTCAAATATGCAACTATATGTTGAACAGAATATGCCAAGACTTACATTCAATTGCAGTTACACTCTACAATGAAACGTACTTGAAGTAAAAGAATAAAAAGTGAAAGAGAGAGTCTTATAACGTGCTTAAAACTGCGCTCTCTCTATGTTGCTGCCCTACGATCAATAACGGCAACATCAACAACAGTAACAGCAATCATTCTTGATTTAATTGCTTCTGCACTGTGATACTACGATTTGTCAATAAATGAGAGCAGAACACAGAAAAAAATGTCTCGAGCGCACTAACAATGCAGGCAAATATGTTGGAAGCCATAGCGTTGCCAACATAGAGTTTAGAAACAATCCATTATCGCTTTTCGTTAGAATTTTAAATACTGTCATCATGTTTTCTCAGAACTTCAAAAAATTGAGTTCATCTGAGTCCTTATCTGTTCTCAGTACATTTCTATCTCTGATAATGCAATACTTGATCAAGATTATAATTACTCTGGTGAAAGTTTTGAAAAAAATGAAAAATTTCTAATATTAACTAAGATTTTTGCTCGAGTTTCTAGAAAAAAAATAGACAAATTTTGGGAAAGTGATATTAAGAACTAAAAGGTAGAAAGTTAAAGAAATAAAATCATAAATATCGATCTATAGACTTATTGATTGTAAACAGATAACCTTATATTTGAAGCTAAATATTTATAAATATCTGTTGACATATTTATTAGTTGTCAAATTTGCTCAATGATTTCGATTCGATCATGATATTATATTTTCAATTATGGCTCTTCATTGCATGGTACTATTTGAATTTAAATTGATAGACGAAAATGTATTCGTTGATTATTCACACTTGAGTCTTCACTCAATGGTTGTGCAGCATCATGCTCTATTACTATTTGATTATTTGAATTTTCTAGAACAACAATACATATATTAGGACTAACATTTACATGTAACTGGCGAAAAAAAAATATTCGTACGAGAATAGATGGCACGTAGATAGTGATTTTAATGCCCATCAATGTTGACTATGTGAGAACATCTTGTAAGTACAGATTCATAAAGTCTTTGGTGAGAATATTTAATATTTTGAATTCGATATTTGGTCTTTTGAGATAGGTTTTAGTGATCTTTGTTCCTGGTAATTATATCTATCATGTTAATAATGACGATTTCCAATATCTTCAGTCACAATCCTACTATTTAGTTGATTTTCAATAGTGGAAAGTATTTATTTGAATACGCAATGCTACTTAAAATCACTTTAAAAGTATTACAAGAAAGTAAGAATTACAAAAATGAAAGAAATTTTTCAGTTCATATGACCAATTTTAAGGATTTAAAAATATGTCTACTTATGCAAATTCAAATCAAGAGAGGTTATAGCTTAGACAAAAAACGATATCCTCTGCTTTTATGAATACTGGAGTCTAATCTTTTTTGAGTGTTAATTTTTTATATTTTGTATATTGCTTTTAGTGATGTTAAATTATTATTTGCCTTGATTTTTATTTAAAGGCATCGGGTGATAATGATAACATTTAGTCGACGTTCATGTATGTAAGAAATCCTCATCGGCAGTTTAAATAACAACATAAAAAATCTAGAAATAAAAATAAGTTAAACATTTTTTATTTCGAAAATATCTTAGAAGAGTTACTATAGAAGACAAGAATATTAAAGAGTTTATCAAAATATAATATCTGTTTAAAATTTAAAACGCCTTTTATTTTACCAAAAAAAATTTAATTCCAAACATTTTATACCATAACGAGACGTTATCCATATTCTTATAAAGTACGAATATTTCTAAAATGCACATTAGATTAGTCTTAAAAAACGTTGTCACTACTTTATAAAGCTTCTGTTAAATAATCTTTTCTTCCGTCTCTGTTTTTCATAGCTTTAATTCCATTGGTTTGCAAATGTCCCCACTATTGTATTGCTAAATTTCTTAAACATCTATGAGATTCAAAAGTTTATTTGATTGAGTTTTGTAGCGTAGTTCCAAACAATTCAACAACTTAAAAATAAATTCATAAATTAATGATATCGCTTTTGGTTTTAGTAAAGATCCTGGGAAAAGATAACAGAATATAATATCTTTTCCAAGATCTTGATAAGATCTTGCTTATCAATCCCCAGATTTCAACGTCTTGCTTACAAGGTATTCGACTAGGGTAGTCTTAATCCTTTTCATGTCTTGGAAAAACTGAAAAAAATCTTTCAGAATTCTAAATTTCAAGGGTCTTGAAGAGTTTTCTTTAGAATTCTATTAATTGCAGTACTAAGATATCTCATGATGCAACAAAATCCTTTTCAGAATATCTTCAAGTTCTTGCTCAGCTTTTTTTATCAACTAACAATGAAGGATTCTATCAGAATTCATTTTCAACTCTATTTCGACGCTAGACAGGAATAACAAAAAGAATTATACTATGACTCTATCAATTTTTGATCAGGATCCTCTATCCGTGCCTATTATAAGTAACTTTTCTAAACTTGCTCAGGGTCGTGTTGAGATCTGCTTGGGAAGGCATATGTAGAGTCCAGACTAGGGAATAACACATATGGCTAGTTTCTTAATGAAAAAACATCATGGTTAAGTGAAAATTTTTTTAACTAAGGTGTATTAAAAATTTGATCTTGAGAATCCTATCAATACTTACCACTAATTTAGTTCACGACCTCAAAAACAATCAAATGATTTCGTCAATATTTTAGCCAGTTTCCGTTCTGGATCTGTTCAAGATCTTCTAATCTCTGAACGCCAACAAACTTCACTGTCAATGTGAAGTAAAATATTAACAGGAATAAACAAAAGTTTCTCAAGATTATACTATGCTTTTGTTCCGACTTTGACAGAAATCTAAAGACACAAGAACCTAACAGGATTTCATTTCAATTTTCACTGCTTTTGCTATTAAGGTGAACAGAAGGATCCGAACAAAAGCTTAGATGATTCTTTCTTCAATGTTGTTAAGATTGATATTCAATATGATCTAACACCCAAGTGCTGAAATGAATTATCTTTTGGATTTTATCTTCACATAAAACTTGAAAATTCATTAAATTAAGGTGTTAGTATCAATTACAGTTATTACACTAATTTTTTCTTTAAAAAAAGATTTTTAGCAAAAAGCAAGTCTTTCAAAAAAACTTTTTCAATTCAATGCATTTGTGGGAAAAGCTCAAAAATATAGTTCTTAATCGACTTAAAATGAGCAGATAATAGTATATTTTTTTTAAAACTTCAATACTGCATTTTTAGAATTTTTTCTCGTAACAATCGTTGTTCAACTGAAAGCACAATACAAGTCGATAAATCAGACGGAATTTAACATATCGAATGTTTAAGTTATATTAAATAATATGACACAGTCCAGCAGGGTAAGCTAACCATTGTATAAACTGCATGTCTAGAGATCAATATTCTTTGTGCTCATTTATCTTTTGTTCTGTTTAGAAAATCGTGCAACATTCGATCAGAATCTTTTCCAATGAAAAATCATTGAAATCCTTACAAGATCCTAATTTAAGAACAACCGAAAATATCAGATATGTCAGGGATCTAATTCTAAAACAGCAGAGATTTTCATTAGAGAACAATAAGAAACTTAAGCAATGGAAAATGAATTGGTC